CACCAAGCTATGTGTCATGTGCCCTGTACTGCCCAGACTAATGAACAATACAGTTCAGAAAATACTCCAGAAAACCAAAAGGGAAGATGTTTGCTTATGCCTTCTTTTGCAGGCATGCAGAGAACCTAAGAAGAAAAACGCAGAGATCCCTGTCAATTTTGCAAAATTTTCCAAAAAGTATACTGAGAAGTGGAAGACAATGTCAGGTAAAGAGAAGTCTACATCTGATGAAATGGCAAAAGCAGATAAAATATGCTATGATTCAGAAATGAAGGATTATGGACCATCTAAGGGAGGCAAAACAAAAAGGACCTCAATGCCCTCAAAAGGCCATTATCCAGATTCTTCCTGTTCTGTTCAGAATTCTGCCTCAAGATTAACTCTGCAGACCCTGGCATCTCTATTGGAGATGTGGCAAAAAAGCTACATAAGAGGTGGAATAACTTAAGTGACACTGGAAAGCAGCTTTGCATCACAAAGGCAGCAAAGCTGAAGGAGAAATATGAGAAGGACGTTGCTAACTGCAAATCTAAAGGGAAGTCTGATGGCACAAAGGGTCCTGCTAAAGTTGCCTGGACAAAGGTGGAAGAGAAAGGTGAAGACAACGAGGAGGAAGAGGCGGTGGAGGAGGAGAATGAATACAAAGCTTTTTATCTGTAATAACTAACTAATTCTCGTTAAGCTGCTCACCATTAAATTAATGGTGATATTCAAAAATAAAACTGCCACATGAACAAGCAACTAATTATTAAGTTTAACTGCATTCTGATGGCAGATTCTTCTATAAAATGTGTGAAATCCTGTAAAATGCCATAACCATAAAAATAACTATTTCTGATATAATTTGAAATGTTCTGCCTAACCAAACCATGTATCTTCAACATGAACTTTGCCAGCTAATAGCCAGCTGAAGACACTCAATGCTCTTGGAGCATCTTGCTTGGATATGTATTATTATTACTTAGAGCCTCCTTTGTTGAAGTATATTATCCAACTTTTCAGTCTGGAGGTCCTACAAAATATTTGATCATAAATATTACAAAAAAATAATTCCTATCATTGCTTAATTATACAATGGTATAGCTACACAGAAATAAATACAATAAATTAAGTAATATAGGCTGAGTACAGTAGCTCACACCTGTAATCCCAGTGCTTTGAGAGGTCAAGGCAGGAGCATCGCTTGAGCGTAGGGGTACAAGATCAGCCTCGGCAAAACAGCGAGACTCCATCACTACAAAAAATTAAGAAAAAACTAGCCAGGTGTGGTGGCACACACTGGTAATCCTAGCTACTCAGGAGGCTGAGGCAGGAGGACCACTTGAGCCCAGGGCTACAGGCTGCACTGAGCTATGACTGCACCAGTGTACCACTGCACTCTAGCCTGGGTGATAGAGTGAGAACCTGTGTCTAAAAAAAAAAAAGGTAATACATATCTTGGGGGCCTCCACTGTGCAAGCAAACAGCACTACTGGCTATCTTCCATTCTCCTTTGAAATACATCAGTAACTCCTTTTTCTAAGAGAATAATTTAAAAAAAATGTCCAATCTCTTCAAATTATATGAAATACTTATAGATTATCATCTAAGAATTATCTTCCATTTTCTGCCATCAAACTAGTTTTGGTTCACCACAACAACTGCCATCTCATTTCAGCAAAGGCAACTATATTTCAATAAATAACAAAATAAAAATTTTAAATCAACCACTGAAAATAAAAAAAAATAACATCCCAAAGAGACAAGTGAATCCATCTTTTAAATCAACTATGGAATAAAATTTTCGAAGTAAACACTAAGAAAAGTTTATTTGACTCTTCTACATTTAAAAATGTTTAGATGTGAGATTTTACTAAAGGAGTAGATTTGAAAACCACACTACTCTAATTCAAAACTAATGTTTTAAAATTATGTTCTGCAACCAAAGCCGAATTGATTTCTCCTGCCCCCTTCCCACTTGATGAAAACAGCTTTGCTCAATGAACAGCTGGTAAACAGTTCCAACTATAATTCAGAATTTCTGAATAAAGATTTGGCAACTCTAAAACCAAAAACCTTATGAAAGAATAGAACCAATCCTTACTGTCATTCAATATAGCAGCTATGCACTGGCCTAAAATCAAACTCTGCTTTCCCTTCATATGTTATTTTAAAAAAATCAAAACCAAAATGTAACCCTTCTCTCCCTAAAATAAAGCCCAGGTTCTCTTTAAGTAGCCATTTAAAGTATATAAGCTGCTTTGCATATTTGTACTGCTTTACTTGGTACATTTAACTTCTAGACAATTAATGCTAGAAAGACATGTAATTCATCAAAGTTCTGGAAAAACAGATCTGGACTAGTACCCCACTGCTCTATAAGCTGAGCCCTGGAATTCAGTATCCAAGAGTCTGATTGTATTTCCCTCATCCTGCCACCCACCTGCCACCATGCCTCACACTCTCTGGTTAGGAGAGGCTGTGGACAACATGAAACAGGTTGTCCTTCACTGTTAGCTTCTGTGACTGCTCTGCGAAGCAGATTCCATCGCTTCTTATAATCATTTATATTTACTTTGCTCATCTCACAAGTGTCAGATGAATTGTTTCTTTGTGAATAGTTTATCTTGAGTTAAAACAAAGTATTTTGAAGATATATACAATGGAAGGCCTTGATTTTAATTTAAAAAATTTAAAAATTATGTAAGTAAATCGCTCGTTCATACTAAGAGAACACATTTTATCAAAATATTTGGTATGTAAAAAGAGCAATATATCTGTATCAGTCCATTCTCACACTGCTATGAAGAAATACCCAAGACTGGGTAATTTATAAAGGAAAGGTTGAATTGTTTCTGCTTTTTTGGGGAGGCCTCAGGAAACTTAAAATCATGACAGAAGGCAAAGAAGAAGCAGGCACCTTCTTCACAGGGTTGCAGGATGCAGTGAGTGAAAGCACGGGAAAAAAGCGAGGTGCTTATAAAACCATCAGATCTCATGAGACTCATGAGAACAGCATGGGGAAACTGTCCCCATGATCCAATTACCTCCACCCTTGGTCTTACCCTTGACACGTGGGGATTATGAAAATTACAATTCAAGATGAGATTTTGGGTGGGGACATAGCCAAACCATATCAATGTCAAATAGCACATAGTTTCTAAAAGGGAAAAAGAAAATTATTTAGTAGTTGAGTTAATAAGAGAATTTTTCTCCTTTCTCAAATTATTCTAAGGATTTTAAATTAGAATATCAGTTTTTCAGTAAAGAAATATTAGATAATTTCAGTTACTGATTGCAGTGAACTGAATGGCAGCCCCAAAGATATGTCCATGTAGCCCCAAAGATACGTCCATGTCCTAATCCCCGAAACTTGTAAATCCCTTTAGGACAGAATATGTGATTAAGTTAAGGACCTTGAGGGGAAAAGTTTATTCTGGATTATGTAGATGAATTCTAAATCGTATGTATCCTTTTAAGAGGGAGGCAGAGAGAGTATGAAAGACAGACACACATGAAGGAGAACGTGGTATGAACTTGGAACAGAGAGAAATGGAACCACAAGCCAAAGAATGCCAACAGCCACCAGGAGCTGAAAGAGGCAAGGACTGCTTCTCCATGAGAGCCTCTGGAGGGAGCCCAGCCTTGACTACACCTTGATTTCAGACATTTGGCCTCAGAAGGAAACCAAGAGAGACTCTATTTCTATTGTTTTAAGCCACTGAGGTTGTAGTAATTTGTTACAACAGCCTCAGAAAACTCATACACTGAGGAGAAGAGTATATACCAATTAATATAATTAATTATCGTACAGTAATACATGATTAAAAGACTAATCCTTAAAACATACACACTTTGAAACAAAAGTACAGTCCTAAATTATAAATAAAATATGAGACACAAGAAAAAATGATACAGTAAGCCCAATTCTTACAGTTGAAACTCAGAAGCAAATTATTTTATAGAATTTCACATGTAACACAAACAGATTATCACTGAGTGAACATATGTGGGACCCTATAAGCAGAAGTTTTACCTAATCCCTAAACATTCAACAGCAATAATAAAGTCTAACAGGCAAGAGATACAAAAATAAATTACACTTAGTCTTCCAAATAAGACTAAGAAGTGACAAATTTAAAATGGCTGTAAAATATCCACAGGTGAATGTGGCTTCTGAAACTATACATCACTAGGTATAAAGGACCCAACTATGATCTGGCTGAGTGGGCAGAACCACCCAGAAACTGACAACAGGAAGTGCATTACATCCATAAATTTTATGGGCCATAACACTTAGAAGAGGTCATCTGAATAAAAGAAAACATCTTTATGATCTGGCAATGATTTGGTCTGTCTCTTAAAAAAGGAAAGAAAAATAATGAAATTGCTGTAACCTCTCTGAGTCTCAAAATCCTCACCTTTAAAACTGGGATACCAAAGCCTACCTCCTAAGGCTAATAGTACTTCTGTTGCCAGGCATGGTGACTCATGCCTGTAACTCAGCACTTTGGTAGGCTGAGTCAGGTGGATCGCCTGAGGTCAGGAGTTCGAGACCAGCCTGGCCAACATGGTGAAACCCTGCCTCTACTAAAAATACAAAATTAACTGGGTGTGGTGGCACATGCTTGTAATCCCAGCTACCTGGGAGCCTGAGGCCAGAGAATCACTTGAAACTGGGAGGCAGAGATTGCAGTGAGTTGAGATCGTGCCATTGCACTCCAGCCTGGGCTACAAGAGCAGAACTCCGTCAAAAACAAAACAACAACAACAAAAAACAGTGCTCCTGTCAGAGCAGTACTGTGAAGATGAAATGAGATTATACACAGTGCTGGCCTATGGTCTGGATCACAGCTCCTCTCCATAAACTGGTTGACTGGCAGCTAATTACACTTGCCTTCTGGATGAAAAATTTCAGGGAACAGATAGCAGATTATTTTCAAAAGACAAAAATGGTAAAACATTTAAAAACAGAATGCTGTTTGTCTATTATTTTTCTATCCAGGGGTCCCAGCACTTACCACATCACTAGCACTAGAGAACTCGTTATTAACCAGACTTTCAAGAGCCATCCAACGAACTGGCCTGTTTTCATTGTCCCCCAGACAGTGATAGTCCATGGGGAACAAGTCTCTGGAGAGGGCATTGTCTGTGATCTTAACTTGAAGTGTGTCATCAATCCTGAAAAGTAAAGACATGAACATCAAATGCAATCAGAGTATTAAAAAGTAGGGATCACCACCACCCTTAAATACAACACAAGTCCCACTGTGACTCCCAGAGAACCCCAAATCCAGGAAGCACTCTCCATCAAGTGACAGTATCAAGCTCATGGCACCTACACACAGTTCCTCGCAGCCAGGTCTTTGTGGATGACTTCCCTTCTGGCCAAGTAGCTCATGCCACAGGCAATCTGAATAGCCATGTGTACCAGGTCTTGTTGAGAAATCGCCTGTGGTAACAAAAAAAAAAAGGACATGGTTTGCAAATAGCACACACAGATGATGGCACTTTCTTATTTTATTCCACATTCCTACTCCATCCAAAAATACTGCTTTAAACCTACACACAGAATTTTTAAAAGCCATTTCTTGACCAAGAATATGTTCCCATATATCCCTATATTTATAACAACTATAGCCCTTATTCCTCTGTAAACTACAGTTTACTTCTCTGTCTCCTTTCATCTATTAGATTTATCTCCCCAATATCCAGCACATACAGCAGCTACTCAATAAATCTATTCAGTGAATACTGAGTTCTCAAGGTGATATTTAAATGTTTTTATTCAATAATTTTTTTTCTCTCAAAACAGTAGTCTGTATTAGGAGATTCTCTGCTCAGGATCATTTTCAAATGAGCACAAGTGTAAGCCAGGTGCAGTGCCTCATGCCCACAATCCCAGCATTTTGGGAGGCTGAGGTGGAAGGATCACTTGAGCCCAGGAGAGAGCTTGAGATCAACCTGGACAACATATGGAGGCCCTGTCTCTATGAAAAAAAATATATATATTTTTAAAAAAATTAGCCAGGTATGGTGGCATGTTCCTGTAGTCCAAGCTACTCAGGAAGCTGAGGTGGGAGGATTGCTTAAGCATGGGAGGTTGAAGCTGCAGTGAGCTGTGATCACCCAACCGCCCTCCACCCTTGGTGACTGAGATCCAGTGTAACAAAACAAAAAAACAAAGTATAAGTCTCCAGCTGTTTCTGCTGATATGCTCTTCTAGGTGTGTGCCAGTACTCTGGGCTAAGGAATATAATCCTTCCCCAGGTAATGCAGATGGGTCACAGCCTCTCACCACTTGTTGAGAATCCCAGCTTTAGTCTTGTCAATTTACAAAGCATATTATACATAGTAAGTCAAATACTCAATGCAGCCTTTGAACCCATTTTCACCTGGCAACTATAATAAGTATATTATTATATCCTAAAGCAACTTAATGGGGCTACCAGAGACAGCAGACAGCAAAATACCCACTACACTTTACTACCCCTACCATCATAATACACTTGGTATCTGACCTTTGCTTCAGTTATGTACACAAGCACAAAAGAGAAAAACTCTTAGATGACTGCCATCTTACAGCCAAGCATATTAACAATATATCCAATTACCTCCCACAATCTAGACCTCCAGTTATTTGGTACAGAATAAACCAAATGGCTCCAGAAAGTCTGTTTCCATTCCTAAGAGGAAAATCTAGGACAAGTACCCGTAATTATCAGGAAAACACCTGAGATGTTATTACAAAGGGTTTGAGTTGATTATGAGTAAGTACACAATGAAAATATAAGGAAAACTTCAGCATCAGCACAGTGTAAGCCTCAAGGCAGGAACATAAGCTAACATTTTCCTTTAAACACACAGGTTATAAATATCTTGTGGTTCATTTTGAGGTTCTTTTTTGTAGGCCTTTAAACAGTTTATATTTAGGAATGTTAATAGTTACTTTCAAAGACATTATCAGAAACTACTGATAAATAATTGGTATTTGGGCAAATTTTTCTCACCTGTGGATTATTGGCCTCTACTAACTTGCACTGCCGTAAAAACAATTTAAGATTCCCCCAATTCATGTAAGGCAATATCACCATGGGCTTTTCTCCTTCTTCTATGCACACATGAGTAATAGGAAGAAGATTTCTATAAAATAACAAAAAATTGGGAGAAAGACAAAGGAATCCAAAATGTTAGGAGCTTATTTCTAATAAAAATAAAGAAATCTAAAACAAAACAAAATCCCCCAAATACTTAAAAAGATGATTACCATTAAAAATGTAAAATTATGAGTGCTCTATATTTTAAACCAGACTTAAGTGTTCCCCATATATGCACATTCTTGGTAAGGAAAAGTCATAAACTCTAAGTTGCTTCTCGTGGGCTGGATTTTCTGAAGGCACACTCTAACCACACTGTATCTTTACTCCAAAGGGCAATTAATCAGAGACATCTAAAAAATGACTTGCCCATGAGTGTATTATGATAATAATATTCCACTCCATTATCACACATGAAAAGAAAAAAAAAGGCCCAATCCAGACTGCGGTCAAGAATAGGATCATCATAAAGGTCTCTAAAAGGCTGAAACTGCCGCAAAACCACAAAGTTCTTAGCTGGTCACTGGATTTAGAATCTGATTTTTGAATCCTAGATTTGTGACCATCTGTCTCCTGGCTTTGGCTTCCATACTTATAACATAGGGACCCCACCAACCATAAAAAGTTACTATGATAGGCAAAATGAAATCAAGCATGTGGTGGACAATCCACTTCCTATTTTAATTTCTATGGCTTGCATACATACATTTCATCCTATTATCTAATAACACCTCCTCCACTGACATCTGGAAATAACTCTTCATTTTTCCCAAGGTTATGTAACTTTTTACATAATTATATCATTTTCCCTACTAAATTAAAAATTGCTAGAAGAAAAAAACAAAGGTAAACTCAATTTTTACACCCAACACTTTGTATTCTATGCTATATAAAACAAACATTTAATAACAAATAACAGAAACAAGTAGCCTTAAAACATTCCTACTCCTTAACTTAGTAAATTTTCTTCTAAGGATGTTTAATAAGGAAATACATTAAACATAAAACAGCTAGTTAATGAAAAAGGATAGTTAATGTAATATTAGTACTAAAAAGTACCAAACAGCTCGAATGTTCAAAAGTAATAAAAGAATAACAATATGAAAATATGAGTAAAACCTTATAAGAAAGATACAGAATTCACATTTGCAAGGTAATTACAAAAATGGAGAAAAATAATAATAAAGGTCTGCACAGAAATATGCAGAGTTGAGTTGTCATTGTGAGACTATAATTTCAGCCTTATTTCCTGTATTTCCTAAAAATTGTCTCAATTGAGCATGTATCACTTTTTAAACCCCAGTTATAAAACTGTGGCACAAACACTAGTGCACAAGTGGCAAAGCTATGCACTCCCCTCATATTTGCAGGAGTTACTAACATGGAAAGCACTAACCCTGAGGAAGTGGGAAAATGAGGACTTACAGATCAGCAAACCTGTAGTGACAACGACTTAGGAGTTCCACTTTATATGCAAGGAAACCCATGCTGGGAGATAAAGTTTAGGTAACCTGCCAAGGACAAAGACCAAGTACATGGAGAAAAAAATCAGATCTTCATCTGATTCAACACCCTTTGCATTCCCTTGGACCACCAGACTTTCTCTCCCAGAGGAGCAAGGGAGATCACATGGGAGATTACAGAGCCTTCTTTACACCAGCTCCCATGAACACTAAAATGACTACAGGTTCACACTTAGGATTAACTTGGGCATGCTATGATTTCAGGGTAAAAACTGTTGCCCAATCTCTAACCCACCAAAGTTTATTTCTGTCTCTTTTTTTTGTGACTGAAATTCATTTAGCAGAGTTAAAGACATTTTATCCATTAGGTTTGCTGGATGGGGTCAAATCTTTTATTCCACCACCACAGTATTAAAAACCCACTAATACAGGTAACAGACTTTATGAAAATGTTTCAAAGTACAAATGGCTGCTTTTCATTCTGCCCATTTTGTAACAGAAAGGAGAATAAAGAGGAAAGTCCAGATCTCTAAGTAGAGTGAATGAAAGCAAGAGGAAGTGTTACAGAGAAGAAAGAAGGTAGAGGAAGGGCAGGTTCTGTGGGGCTTAACACAACAACTGCCTCTAATTCTCAGTTTTGTTGAGGGTGCTTACAGAGGGAGAGCTCTGAGGCATTTGGCATAAGAAGTGCTCACCACTGGGCATCCTTGGGCCAATGAAAGGGCCAAACTACAAGCAGAAATAGATCAAGAGTACTCTGATATGAAGTACTTCCGTGAAATTAAAGTAGGTTGATATATTTTATTTATACAGCTATTTTAACTTATAATAAAATTACTTTTATAAAATCCAGTGGGAAAATGTGTGAAAAGAAATGATTTCAAAACGCTTTAAAACACTTAAATACTTGTACAATCCTTAACCATGAAATGTTAAAACATGAAGCAAACAGGCTGTATTATATACCACAGCCAGCTAACAAGGTAAAATCTGAAAACAGGTGTCTTTTCCTGCTGAATGTATTGAGTTTGCTTGATAATTTCTATAATATGATCTCTGAAAATAATTTCATTTATATTCTTTCTGCCTAGCACAGTTCCAAGTGCAAAATGGGTACTGAATGCATTAGAATAAAAGAATGAACAAACAAATATATACATATAACTATGAATAGTCTACAGATATCAGGGATCAAACTGAAATGTGTGCTAGGCCCTGGTCACCTTAAAAATAAGATGAACTGGCCAGGCACAGTGGCTCATGCCTGTAATCCCAGCACTTTGGAAGGCCAAGGCAAACAGATCACCTGAGGTCAGGAGTTCAAGACCAGCCTGACCGAAATGGAGAAACCCCATCTCTACTAAAAATATAAAATTAGCCAGGCATGGTGGCACATGTTTGTAATCCTAGCTCCTCAGGAAGCCAAGGCAGGAGAATCACTTGAACCTGAACCTGGGAAGCAGGGGTTATGGTGAACTGAGATCATGCCATTGCACTCCAGCCTGGACAACAAGAGTGATACTTCAACTCAAACAAACAAACAAAAAAGAGATGAACTGCTACAGTGAATGGAAAGAATAATATACTTTCTACATATTGACAATGTTTTGTTCATTGTAACTAGGAGTCCTGCTAACACCTCATAGAAGGAAGAACAATTAAGCATAATCAAACAACTTATCTTTACAAGACTTTCCTCAAGTACCGAATGCCCAGTATCAAATAACTTCAATTTAGAATGTCCTGTCATTCCATTCCCTAAGGACCCCCTGAGACTGCTAATTCATCCTGGTGGGATGCTGCAAAACCTTACAATCTAAACCTGCATGAGACACAAGGCTGCAAACGCTTCCTCAGAGCATTTTTCAGCCAAGGCATCTTTAGGGCTACAGTGGATATAAAACTGTTTCTTGGGAAAATCCTGGCTTTGTCTACATTTATCCCTGCTACTCACCTCTGTGCTGAAGAGAGGTAAACCTTTCACTGGGGTAAGAATATTGGCTAGGTACCTAAGTAATAGGTTAACATTATATATTAGGATTAAACACCTTTGGCTCCTCTCCCTAGTCAGTGTAATAGACCATTAAGCACTTTCAACACTGCCAAAAAGGACAATATTCCAACTGTTTCTTTCCCTTCTGCTACTAAGATTATCAACTTACAGCATTTCCTTCACCCTCGGTTGCCTAGAAGCTAAGAGCTGTTTTATGTTCAATCACAGTAAAAAATATGTGTTCCCCTTACTGCTGGCTCGTTTGTTTTCTTTTCTACCACCACGATACCAAAAAACTCACTTTCATTTTCATTACCATTTTATTGATCTTACCGTGGCTTCCTTCTTTTTAGGTCCTCAAATTCTTCTGAATATGAACCAAAATATAACCAAATTCAAAACTACGGCCCTGGATAGTCACCTTATTTTTCAATAGAACTCAAGGAACTATCTAAAGTATACAGAAACTAAAATATATTTTTTCAGAAGCCCATAAACATCTTCCAACAGGGATGACCACAGTTCTATTTTTCAACATATGTGGTCAAATTTTAAGTAGGCATACATGTTATGCTGCCTCTATACAGTGCTTTAAAAAACGTTTGCTCTAATATTGATACTGTCACACATTATGATGTTATATTTAAATTGCTTCTGGCTCTAAAAGGTAAAATTTTTTGTTATAGCTGTGTGAACAGGACCAATACCAAGCTTTTAAAAAATACTTACAGAACTGTAAGTATTTTTAAAAAGTCATACTATGCTATAATGATTGTATACCAGAAATTGATTAAATAAAATGTGGTACCATCCATTCAATGGATTACTATGTAGCCTTTTTAAATGACTACATGGATTTACAGTTACAGACATCAAAAGTCAGATACATTGTTTTGTTAAATTAAGAAGCATGTTAACTTTGTCAAAGACAACAGTGGTATTATGATTATAAAGAAAAGTATCTTCTTTTTGTTTTTTAAATACATGCTGGACATGCATTAAAAGCACTGAGGTGTCTAATTTACTATAAAATATTTCTACACACAAATATACAGATACATATAGCCAGAGATATAAATCTCTAGATAAAGATGGATAATACATAAACAAACACAACACAGAAAATACGGCAAAATGTTAACTATCACTGCATCTAGAAGGTAGATTTATTCATGTTTATCATACTTTGAGGTCCTATATATTCAAAAATCTCACAACAAATATTTTTAACATATGTATACCGGCATCCTATTTTTTAAGGGGACGTATGCACATAAATAAGTATAAACTGTTTCTGGAAAGATTAGCTAGATTAGCTATGAGTATCCAGATGTGGGCTTAAACATTATTCTTTGTTTTCTTTCTTGTATTTGTAAGTTTTGTGCAATGAGAATGCATTTCACTTTTATATTCAGGAAAAAAAATAAGTTATTCTACAAAGCTTTCGATTCAGAAGTCATCATAATGTTCCGCAAATAAAAATGTGGCATCAAGTGTTGCCATGCTCAACACTGAAGTGCCGGTGGTTTCTCCTCTCACCTGTGATGAAGACCTCGCAGCTTACAACTTTCAGTGAGCATCATTGTCACCTGAATTTCAGAAGCTTGATCTATATAAAGAAAAAAAACTGTCTTGAATAATAATACTAAACATATATGGCATTAACATTTTCTGCTATTAGTAAATAATTATCTTGAACTACAAGGTAGGTAGGTTTTCATTATACAGGTCAATCTAAATAGATTTAGACAAAAATTCTACTGCAGTCCCATTAAATAGGTCAACTTTCCCAGAAATTTTTACATCAAAATTAGAAATTCAATTAAGTTTCCATAAACAAAGCAGAAAATGCAATAAATCTGTAACACATGAGGTATATATACTGCTTACTTCCTTTTTTACTATTTAAATAGTTCAAATAAATCAGTAAGGAAAAAAATTGAAAAAGAGGTGGAGAATATAAACATACAGTTTACTGAGAAAATAAAAAACAAATCACAAGATTACAAAACAACTTATAGCCTCAGTCCTAAGGAAAGAAATGCAAATTAAACCAGTAGATGCCATTTCCCCTGTCAAACTGAGACATAAAAATATCCGCTACCTACTATTAAGAGTTTTGGCCGGGCGCGGTGGCTCAAGCCTGTAATCCCAGCACTTTGGGAGGCCGAGGCGGGTGGATCACGAGGTCAACAGATCGAGACCATCCTGGTCAACATGGTGAAACCCTGTCTCTACTAAAAATACAAAAAATTAGCTGGGCATGGTGGCGCGTGCCTGTAATCCCAGCTACTCAGGAGGCTGAGGTAGGAGAATTGCCTGAACCCAGGAGGCAGAGGTTGCGGGGAGCCGAGATTGCCATTGCACTCCAGCCTGGGTAACGAGCGAAACTCCGTCTCAAAAAAAAAAAAAAGAGTTTGCGCAAGAGTATGAGAAAACAGGCTCATCAATAGTACCTTGGGTAGATGGAGAAAGTAACATGTAACAAAATTTTTAAATGCAGATAGACCTTGCATCATAAATCCCACTGCTACAGACACAGTCTGTAACAGTCTGTTACAGACACAGTCACAAAAGCTCATCTATGTATAATGTAACAAAAGCACTGTTCAGTGGCAAAAAACTCAAGCACTAAAGTACCCATTAACAGAGAACTCATTAAATTGACACACCGGAGTACTATGTGGCTATTTTTTAAAAAATGAGACAGGTACTGATGCTCTAAAATATATTAAATTTTAAAAACAAGATACAACTTGTGTTTTCATATCTTAATATTTCTTACATACTAAGGAATTGTTTACATATGATGGCTGCTTTTCAAGATGATTGAATTTACATTATGTACCTTTCTGTTCTGTTTATATGTTCTAACCTAACAAACATTACAAGCATAAAATGACTACAAAAGTTATGATTGGAGTTTACGGCCTATTCTTTTGCTTTCTTCTTTCTACTTCTCTGTGATTAAAAACAAACAAAAAGAACTAATAATACATGAGTAAAAATTAGTTAACTTTCATATGATAACCAAAATTAGAATTCAGCCACTTTAGTTTTTTAGCTTCTGAACTCATGGTTTTTGGTCAAAAGTAGCAAAACAGAACTACAACGAATTCTGACGTCAAAGTTTTTTGAAACAAAAACATGATAATGCAATTTACCAATATCTTTAAGTCTACACCTCCAAAGGAATTTTTAAGCCTTCAAATATTTGCCAAATCCACAAGGATTCCTCATCATATAGGGCCCATAACCTTAACAGTATAAAGGAATTTCTCCACTGCTTGAAAAGAATATTTCTATTATAAAATTGAAAATGCAGCCAGGTGCAGTGGTTCACACCTGTAATACCACCACTTTGGGAGGCTGAAGCAGGAGGATCACTTAAAAGCCAGAAGTTTCAGACCAGCCTGAGCAACACAGAGGACTCTATCACTACAAAAAAAAGTTGTTTTAAATTAGCTGGGCATGGTGGTGCACACTAGCGGTCCCAGACACTCAGAGGGCTAAGGATGGAGGATTGCTTGAGCCAAGGAGGTCAAGGTTGCAGTGAGCCATGACTGCACCACTGCACTCCTGCCTGGGTAACAGAACAAGACCCCGTCTCTCAACATAATAAAAATAAACAAATAAGAAGTGAGTTTGAATTTTAAAAAATAGTTTTTAAATGTTAAAACAAACATAATAGTATATTCTTAAAAACCCTTTCAAAGAAATTCATAACGAATTTTTACATCAGTAGGAAGAACAATAATAATAATTTGTAAAGCTCAGGCTGGCAACATGGTAAAACCCAATCTCTACAAGACAGATAGATAGATAGATAGATAGATAGATAGATAGATACATACATACATACATACATACATACATACATACCTACATACATACATACCTACATACATACATACATACATTGACAGACAGAGAGACAGACAGACAGATAGCTGGGTGTGGTGCTATACACCTGTAGTCCCAGCTACCAGGGAGGCTGGGGTTAAGTAGATTGCTTGAGCCAAGGAGGTTGAGGCTGCAGTGAGCTATGATTATACCACTGCACTCCAGCCTGAGTGACACAGTGAGACCCTGTCTATAAATAAATTAATTAGATAGTAATTTATAAAGCTTCAGACCAATGTAATAAGAGGAAGAAAGAAATGTAAAAGACTGGCAAAGCTAAGATTCACATTGTAGACCCACCTAGGAAAATGCTGAACCAACAATAAAACCCAGTCCACTGAATTCAGATACTATGATTGTCATATTTGGTCCTTAAATGTGGAACTATCAAAGCTGAGAAATCTCAAAATTCATTTATTTCCACATCTACCCACTGGAATCTCATTCCTACTTCATTTCCTCTTGTTTCACTTCCATTACTTGCTACTTACTGTCCCCTTTCCAAGCGACTTTTCTTAGTTAAGACTTTTGTAGGAATGTAAAATGGGTAGACAAAAAGCCAAGGATCTAAAACATTTAGTACTTCTTTGGAAAAGATACTTCATACCAATGTCTGCTAGAATAAACTCTAAGTGTCTAAAAACTGCTTAAAACTTGGGATTTCTTAATAAATGGCAGAATGTGACTTTATTACTCTTTCTATAACCTAAAAAACTTCTAATGAAATTATGGGCAGGACTACTAGGGGCTAGTAGGATCTTTTCAGGACTGAAAGCTAGTAATAGTTGGAAGTCCTCGCCCAGTTAAAAAGACTTTACCATTCCCTCAACTGGTAAGGAGATCCAAGTACAACAAATGGTAATTTCAAGATGTGTCATTTTGTACATACTTTTTTCAAGTTTTTAATTTTGATAAGCATGTTCTATTAAAACAAAGGACACTTGAACTGAATGGTGATCTAAGAATACTCAATTAAAGATAAAATAACTTTAACCAGTTAGTAAGAAAAACTCATTTTGCTGGATTCCTTTCCCAATCTCATCCTAGTCTTTTAATTTTACATAATAAAAGGTCTATCTTCAAGATGTACACATGTGAAAAGGATACTATAAATATATTCTAAAAGTTACAAGGATGCACAAAATGATTTTTAAAAACAAACATTTGCTTACTTACAAAACTAAAAATGTAGTAGCTATAATAAAGAAAATAAGAACTTAATACCAATAACCCCAAACTGATCCATTTATTTTATGGAATTCAATTTCACTATATTTACTGTGCAAGATTCGGGTTGCCAATTTCAATCTCTGGAAATTTATACTGGAATATCTATAAAGTCTCTCTGTAAAATTATGAATAGTTTTAAAAGGCAAACTCCAATTTTCTGCTTATGCCTAAAGGCAAAGGTCAGTGCTTTCTAAAACACCTGTTTTTTTTTTGTATTTTATGCTACACTTCTAATTGTGTAACATGTAACAAAGCATAGAGATTTGTGAAAGACCTTGGTCAGCTCTACGTGGCTACAACTAAAACCATGAAATCAGCATTCCAAAATAATCAATCTCAGAGACAGACATGTGGCACGCTCTCTGTAACAAATCTGAGGCAAGTATCCTGGTCAGTGCACTTCCCGTCTGTCCCCCATATGGGCTCACTGTGCTTTCTCTTATTTCTGCACAGCTCAGATAGAACATCATAATTACAGTGGTAGAGCACAGAAACAAATAGTAACTACAAGTCAAGCATATACGGAAAGAGAAGTTTTATCTCGTGAAACAGTCCAAGTATCCTCACTGTGTTTTCTTATCACTATTATTTCCTTTTATCCCTTCCTCCAACCCTAAATCAACCCAATTTTGTTTGAAAACCTCCTTCCTTAATTCAGAACAAGTCAATATAAGCCCAATTCCACACAGTCTATAGAACACTTACAAACCCTAGAAGAAATATTTGCATTAAGGAATTTCCTTTTAAAAAAAAATGAGAAAAGAGTAACAAAAGGCTGTTGTTCAATAACCTTATCGCTCAAATTTTACATTTACAAAAAATAATATGGAAACTCTCCTTCAAAACTAGTTAGAAAACCTACTGAGACCTAACTTACACTTGATCTTAGCCAAAAGGACAAGAAGGCATGGACCTAATGTAAATATTACCCTTTAAAAGTGTTTTTGAGGCTTGGAAGGGGTGAATGAATAAAATAAATATAAATGATACAGTAAGTTAAACCATTGTTTAGAAAAGATTAAAGAGGTGAGTATACATGTAGTATTTGTAGCAGCCTTAAACAAGCAATTCTGTTCAATTAAAAACAATTCCAAAGATTTTTTGTTAGATTGGCAGAACCCAACTTTTTATAAACAATAAACAGAAACCCTTCATACTTTCTATGTATTCCTTTAAGTAAATTTAGAAACCGTTCTTATAAATTAACTTCATAAACTGTGTAAAATTTTATCGCTTTCTACTCATAAAACTGAATTTAATTTTCCCTTCAGTTTCTGAAGGGAAAGTGCTAAATTTGTTTTTCTGAAATTATTACCTTGTCTTCTCAATTTATATCAGACCTGGCAGACATTAAGTACCCTATAAATTATCACACTTTTCTTTCTCTTTAAATGAGCAAATAAGACTTATCTCAGAATTATTATTATCATTTTAAAAAATTAAGACAGGATCTTGCTGTTACCCAGGCTGGAGTGCAGTGGCATCATCAGGGGTCACTGCAGCCTTGAACTCCTGGGCTCTCAAGTAATCCTCCTGACTCAGCCTCCTAAGTAGCTGAGTCTACAGGCACATGCTACCACACCTAGCTAATTTTTTAAAATTTTTTGTAGAGACAGAGGTCTTTCTATATTGCCCAGGGTGATCTTGAACTTCTGGGTTCAAGCAATCCTCCTGTCTTAGCCTCCCAAAGCTTTAGGATTACAATTGTGAGCCACTGCACCCAGCCCTTAATTCAGAATTATTTAAGCTTTTACAAATATCTGTTGTAAATAATTAAAATTCTAATTTTTTTAAAGTCTTGCTAATCTACCAGTAATAGGAAATAAGCCATATGCCTGCATAAATAACACTACAGTATCTCGATAGAGAATCTTTAATTAAATAACTTATATAGATCAATAATTTAAAAAGTAGGTGTCACATTTCAAATGCTGGCCCAAAAGAATATGTGAAAACAGGTGTTCTGCTCATGACAATATAAATCAGTGCTCTCTTTTAGAGGACAATCTAACAATATCTATTAAATTTTTTTTAAGACAGAGTGTCACTGTCACCAAGGCTGGAGTGCAGTGGCATGATCTTGGCTCACTGCAAGCTCCGCCTCCCAGGTTCAAGCAATTCTTGCGCCTCAGCCTTCCTTCCAAGTAGCTGGGATTACAGGCGCGAGGCACCACGCCTGGCTAATTTTTGTATTTTTTGCAGAGATGGGGTTTTACCATGCTGATCTCGAATTCCTGAACTCAGGTGATCTGCCCACCCTGGCCTCCGAAAGTGCTGGGATTACAGGTGTGAGCCACTGCGCCTGACCTTTATTAAAATTTTAAACATACACACCCTTAGGCCAGCAATTCCAACTATGGCTATATGTGTAAAAGTATACCAACATTAGATATAGTAACAACGAAATCAAGTGGATGCAGTTTGACATGCAATTAAATGAGTAATATCTAACAAATGTCTCATGTCTTAATTTAGCAGACTTCTGTTTTTCTATACCTCGTGAGAAGAATCCAAATATCCGAAAAAATTAGGCTCATACAAGCTAAATTTTTTTTAAAAGCTAAATTAACATGGACTGAGACACTGGAAAACTGAGACAGAATTTTGCTGGCACGAGCCACCTAAGACAGAAGAGCATCATGGAAATACTATGGAAAAAAGCTCCCACCTTTAACTGTTTTGACAAATGCTTGTTTTTCTTTATTTGGATCTTTTTCATCTATTAAAATCCCATGGAAAATACGCCCAAAAGTACCTAAAAGGAAAAGTAATAATTAATGAGATCATATGATAACCTTCATAAAATTACAGTACAAAACTTTCTGGTACAATATAAAACAAAAACAACAAGGGCATATGTGATCAACAACGTTACTCTAACCCTACAGTAAAAAGACCCAAATCTTTTTTTTTTTTTTTTGTAACTATTACACATCTTAACTTGCTTTTGGAAACACTGTATCTTAAACTAAGTATATGAAAAATCTTCTGAATTATACTAAATCAACTTATAATGTAGCCAGGAGCACTGGAGCTCAGTAATGATGGATCCACAACGGCATTTATGAGTTTCTAGGCTTAGCCTCAGAGCAACGACAAAAAGACAAAAATGAACTTTCCTCTCTGCTGCAGAGCTTTAAAAAGCAGCTTCAATGGAAGGCCAAGGGGTACAAGGTTTGGATCCAGACAGTCCTGGGTTCTGATCCTTCTACCACTCATTCCTCAGAAGGTCTCAGACAAGCCAAGTAGACTTCAGTTCACTGGTAAAATGTGTTCCTAAAATCCCTCCAGATTTTATTAGTTATTTTGTAATTGCCCATAAAAAGCTCCCAAACAAGATGATCATTGAAAATGAATCTCATTTTACTCTTTCTCACTAGAAAATTGTTTACTTTCCTTCTTTCACAATTTAAAAGATAAGTCTTCAAATAGTTTAACTTTGCTGCAGATAGCAAGCATACAAATAGGCTTGCTCTAATGCCTTTCATTGTATGAGATGGAGTTGTTGGTACCCATCTATCAGGTCTCACTGTGGCCTAGAGACAGAGGAACTTCTACGCTCGAGGCAGAAAAGGCTTTGGATAATCTTTATTTAAGACATTTTGCTTGAAGCTGAGTGAATATCTTCAAACACTTGAGTCAATACATAGAGCTACAAACCCTGACCTGTCTTCCTCACAAAGGTTTTCCCTTCTCTCTCCACCCAAGTTCACCTTGCTTGACTGAACACTCTCTTGCACTGTGGCACTGCAAAATCTCATCTCCTCTTCCCAGTACCTAGTGCCATTTAAAAATATTACTCCCAAACATAGATTTACATACACTTAAAAATAATGGATGTAAGGAACATATACAAAAATATATATGTACATATTACTTTACCACAATGTTACAGCAATTCATATTCCTATCAGCAATGTAAAAGTGCATGTGTTTCCCCCATATCCGTCAACCTAGAGATTATCTTTTTACTTTTTCACAATCTAATGTAAAAAAAAAATAGCATGTAACTATTGTTTTATTTGCATTTATCAGATTTCCAGTGAACCTGACCTGATTAAACGTTAATCAGGCACCATATTTTCTTTTCTGAAATCAAAAGAATTTTAAAATAAACTACTATGGGCCTGAGAAGACCAAAAAAGAAAAACCCTACCTGGTTCAGAATTCCTTCTTCTCAAATCATACCATTACAACAGACTGCCTATTTATCCCACTCAGAGACCAAAAGAAACTGCAAATATAACATTATTAATTGATCTCTCTCTTTTTTTTATTCTTTAGGAAACGCTACCTGGTCTACTTACTCTCTTCAGATTGCAAACAGATCTGCAAATCAGTTATGCTTAGAAAACAGACAACTATAACAAGTGGCAATCATGCATTGAAAAACATACCAGAAAATATGCTTCCATTAATTACCATTTGCTACTGGGGACAGTTTAAGTCCCTGACTTAGCTGTGATTAACGTAAATGTGTCCCAACCACCAAAGGAGGATTCACAGGTATCCAAAGCATTCCAAATTCAATTATGGTGGGGGTAAAAACATGAAGAGCTCAGTGCAGTATTTTATTATTAATTTCTGTCCTCTTCTTTCAGCATCTCCCTTATCAACACCCTCAAACTCAAAAAGGAAAGCAAGGGCCAGTGAGAGGGAAAGGGAAGAGTAGTAACACCTGGAAAACACTATTATGTATTAGTTTATTTACTGTATCTAATTTCATCTAGTCTTTATAACTAGTCTAAGAGCTGACAACACAGTCCAAATTTATAGAAAAGGAAACTGGAGATTGAGAACATTATGTGATTTCTCCAAAGTCACACAGAGAATAAAATGTGGGATTAGAACTTAGGACCAAAACCAGAGCCTATGTCTGTTCCTTCTGCTACAATCCCCACGCTATCTGACACAGAGGAAACAAAATAGAATATTTCAAAGAGAACTGCCAGATAGTGATCATTTTAAATAAAAACTAAACAGAGAATATACCTTAAACACAGCAAACACTAATATACATGCCTTAATATACTTGAAAATCAAGAACTGCACCAAATTTGTACAAGGCAAATTAAAGAATGAGAAAATAAAAATCATTTTTATAAAAGAAAAATCGCACACTGCTTCCTACCCTTATCTTACACACAAAATGAGATAACATTTTTTTAATTTTTGAAAAAAGTGTTTATAGTGGTAACAATAAACTTAAAAAACTGACTTTGAGATAATAAATACCTTCTTGGAGTACATCTTTTAGAGTTACCCTCTCCCTGGATATTGCTATATCCTTCACCTTGGCTTTGGCCTCCAAAAGAGTGACACTTCTCAAGTCGTTCTTCTCTATCCGCAAGGTAGGATAACCTGAGGAGCCAACAAAGCCAAACCAAGCAATATAAATACCCTTATTATGGTACTGCGGTCAACTAGTTCAGTTAGAACCCCAGGACGCAAGTCACAGGAATGAGTGCAAGAATCCTAACAGGAAACAGGCATATGTATAAACTAGGAGAGTTATTTGAAGGCCACACTAAATGTTAAAGAAATGTCTTCTCACCCACCACAATATTACTCCAAAATGTTAAAATTCTGAGCTGCAACAAGAAATCCTAAAAATAGCATTACCATGACCACCACCACTTCAATTGCCTTTTAGCCAAATGAAACAAGCTTTGACCAGTGAAATTTCATTTAATTTCTCTTATGGACAGTTTTTCTCCCAAAAGATTTTCTAATATAGTCTCATAACAAAACCAACTTTTCAAAAAGATTTTTTCAAACATCTCTTCATTTGAAAAGTTGGTTTTTTTTTTCAAACATCTCTTCATTTGAAAAGTTGGTTTTTTTTTTCAAACATCTCTTCATTTGAAAAGTTTTGTTTGAACAAACAAAAAGTTTCAAACAAACGTTCCTTTGTTTGAAAAAGATTTTCTTTTTCAAACAAAATACATAATCAATTTAATTATTCTGGTATTACCACAACCTAGTAAAACCATTGTGAGATTCAAATTTATTAAGTTCCCTTAATTCCCATTCATTCTTAATACAATGACAGCAAAAACAATTTATAGCCAAAAATTAGTTTTCACTTCAAGAAAAAAAATGTTAGAATAAAAGGAAAATCTGGTGTTAGCAAGTAGAAGTTGGAATGGCATCTCTAATGATTTATTAGCTTTAGCAGATATTGGGAAGGACCCCCCCCCCCCCCCCCCCCCCCCCCCGCCAAAATCAGTGGGCTTACACAATGATCATCAATGGTTACAAGGAGAACCACATGAAAGGTTTTGGGCAACTTTACAATAGATGCAGGCTGACAACACCTGAAACCACTGATCCACAGCAATTTGACTATGATATGTCTAGGTGTGTGAGTACACATGAATGCTTATGTTTAATTCTACCTGGAGTTCTCTTAGCTTCTTGGATCTGTGGTCTGTTGTGTTCTGTTATCTTAGAAAATTCTTGGCTACTATGCCTTCAAATATTTTTTCTTCCTCTTTTTCTATTTATAAACAAATACATTTCTATTGACCTTTAAAACAAGTGTTTGTTTTTAGCACATATAGGTAAGTAAATTATCTAGCTCCTTAAGGTAATGGCCACAATTACAAACAAGTAAATTTCTTATTGATGGCAACTACAACTTTTAAAAGACAAATAAATGTATTTCTTTTTTTTTTTAGCATATATAATAACAATTATCTACCTCTTTGAGGTCACATATAACAATTAAGAATCCATTCTAATGAGCAAAGATTGCTATCTAAACATTAAAAGCAAACATGTGCCTCTTCTGAGTAGTTTAAACTACTTTCACATTGATCATGTTTACTAAAAAGCATATATTTCTTTCTTCATTAGAGGGAATGGTAGCTGCTATTATTCCCCTTAAATTTCATTTACTCTAGAATGCCTTCTCCCCTCCTTTTTTCTTGCCACTATCTTATTGAAGAAACTGGGTCAGCTACCCTGGAAAATGTCTGGCATCTACTCCTTCCCGTAGTATTTCCTATAAACTGTAAGTCAGGTCTAGAACCTTGATTAGATCCAGGTTAACCTGTAGTGGTGCAGTAGGGAAACACAAGAATACTTCATGAATGGTACATCACATCCTTGGGTACGAAATACCTAGTTCCCCTACTTTTAATAATGCTGAGTTCATCCATGGATTCAGGTAGTGAAAGCCTGATCCCTCAATGGCAAAGTTTCCCATTTTCCTTTTAATCACTGATGATCTTTTTCTGAATCAACTATTTTATCAAGAGTTGCACATGTGATTTTTCTAATTATATCATTCCTTCCACATTTGTTAGCTGAGAATCATCTGTAAAGAAACATTTCTGCTCAACCACCAGCACCATCTGGTTACCCTGAAATACAGTACATGTAGCCAGTTGGTAGAGTAATGTATTCATTGGAGCCTTAGTCACCTCTCAGAATGAACAATTTTGTTAAATAAGGAATTATTACAAATTTGTGGATTTTTACACATTTTAAGTTTTAATTCATTATAGTCATTATTCATTTTGATGATCAAATGGTCCCAACTTTAGCTAGTGGGAGCTCTTCAAGTCTTAGCTCTTTCCTTGATCTGACTTAGCAACATGTCCCAGGTTTATACTGTTCACTTCCTGACCCAGAGTTGGAATCAGCCATTTCTCCAAAAAATCCTGGATTTTTATTTTCATGACAGGTACTGAAAAACCACAACAGGGCACTGGGTATAGGACAGATATTCTTAATCTTATTTTACTAAAGAATAAATAATGCCAGTCCAAAAAAGGAAATCAGATCCGACATTCTAAACTCTCCAGTGGTACTTAACTTCTTATTGTGACTGAAAAACAATGTAAAGTCTTTACCATGGCCTGTAAGACCATCAAACAATTCCTTATAATCTAAAGTTTCTGGGAAATCTCCCCAAAGCAACACCAATTCTAGCAATTAAACTTAAATTTCATTTTCAATACCTCAATTTTAGAATGTTTCATTCAATGTTCTAGAAGCAGAAGTTGAAGAGCATACCTCATTTTGCATACTCTAGATACTATTTACACAACATGTCCCACAAGTACACTAACCATTCCAGTACTACTGGCAAACAGCATAGACAACTTTAGTAAACTGGCTTTAGAATTAAATTAACTCTTACTGGTGATAGGAGTTGCATTGTTGGGTGTGTCAGCTCTCAGATACTGAGTCGTCTGGGTGGATGGCTGAGACAGCCCTTGGGAACTACTGCTGGCACTAATGCTGCAAGCAATTTTTGAGAGAAATATTTGACAAGTCAGTTTCAATTAGAAATTTCCTCTTTCCATACATACAAAATGCACATGGCCATTATAACCAGCCTAAAATCCTGATGGAGATCATAATAATTCATGATATTCCACACTGAAATTTTAATCTAACTCATAGAGCTCTATTTTTTTTTCATTTCTATCTCCAAAATCACTAAGCAAGTTCATCTTATCAAAATTATTCAGAAATGCAGGTACTAGTGCTCAGATACATCAGATAATTGTCCTAAACCTCACACAAAGATATGCTAGGGAACATATGGATCATTTCTCAAAAAAAGAGCCCATGCCATTCAATTAGACTGCTTTTTAGAAAAGAACAAGAAAGACAGGCCTCTTTCAATGATGGCCCAGTATCAAATGGCCTACAGATAAGGGAGGAGCCAACCAAATCAAATGTGCCAACATGCTCAAAACTTAGAAAAGGAGTATTGGCTGTGTGTGGTGGCTCACACCTGTATTCCCAGCACTTGGGAGGCCAAGGTGGGCAGATCACCAGAGGTCAGGAATTTGACAGCAGTCTGGCCTACGTGGCGAAACCCCATCTCTACTAAAAATACAAAATTAGCCAGGCATGATGGCTCATGCCTGTAGTCCCAGTTACTCGGGAGGCGGTGGTAGCAGAATCGCTTGAATCTGGGAAGCAGAGGTTGCAGTGAGTCAAGATCACACCACTGCACTCTAGCCTGGGCAGAGTGAGACGTCTGTCTCAAAAAAAAGGAGTATCAGGAATATCAAATTTGGTTCAAGTTTGTTTAATCACGATACATTTGCTTCTTCTGCTTACCCATTCCCTCCTTTTTATGCAACTTCTGGGAAATCTCTAGTACTTGAAACATTACACCATATTTTTAAAATAATACAGGAGACTCAGAAGATGATAGGTTCAAATAATTGTAAACCTGTGTTCAAGATTATTATAAATTAATGCTGCTCAAACATGTAGTTTGTCTTTTCAATGGGGAGAAATCTTGTCTCTTGGGCACATTTGAGTCTCACTGTCTTAGTTCTTATAATTTTGCAGCAGTGGAAATGTGAAACATAGAAATTTAGCATGAAGAGTGAAACCAGATGGCAGGATGAGTCCTTCATTGCCTCTCTTAGCTACATGAACAACACTGCCTAATCAGTCTCCAACTTTCCTTAAGATGCAAAATCTTTTAACTGACCACTCCCCACATAATAGTTCTGTATTTTCAAAAACCAGTAATTTTTTTAAATACATAATAAAGCTAGGTGCAATGTCAAGCCTGCACCTAACTGCAGCTTTTAACTGCAGCTAATAACTACAGCTGTTTGGAAAGCCGAGATGGGTAGATCACTTGAGCCCAGGAGTTTAAGGTCAACCTGGGCAACACAGTGAAACCCTGTCTCTGAAACAACACACACACACACACACACACACACACAATGACAAAGGGCTGCTATGTAATCTATAACATTTACATATGAATGTGTATTTTATTAATTTCAAAAGCCCATACACACATCTGAAAAATATAAATATATAACATCCAGGCAATGAGGACTGTAAGTCCTTATGTAACCCTTCTATGGCTAACAATACAACATACTATTATCTGCTTTTATAACCAAAACACTTGTAGAAAGTCACAGCAAAAATTAAGATAGGAATGTCCTGCAATAAACATTTGGAGTGCACCTACAATATGCAAGCCATTCTGCTCAGCACAACCATGGATCTCAAGATACATGTTTGCCTAATGAAATGGCCCCCAGCATGCCTTCCCTGAAGATGTCCATCATTGTAGAGTATCTATTAGACTGGTGCAAAAGTAACTGCAAAGTGTGTTTTTTGCCATTGCTTTTAATGCAATTAAAACTGCAATTACTACACCAACCTAATACTACTTCTTGTGATGCTGCAGTTAGCCCTGTTTCCCCAGCAACTCTGTGAAGATACTTTGCAACTCAAAGAGAAAATAGTAAAGATTCATTAGGCTATCATCTGGTCAGAGTGCTGGAAGAGCTTCAGAGGCTCAATGTGATTCCAGAATTGATCTATAGGAGTTTATAATGCAGTGGGTATAGGTCAATACAGAAAAAGATGAAGAGCATAAACCTTGAAGTCAGAACTGCCAGTACCATCGATTACTAGCTGTATGGCCTAGGACAAACTATTTAATCCTCTGGAACCTCAAACTCCCTGTGGACAGAATGTGCATAATACTATCCTCTGATAAGACTGCTACAACAATTACATGAAAAATAAATAAAAACAGCATTTAGGATAGTGCCTTAAATTATTATTACTAATTTATAGTATACTACTATACTTATATTAATTATGTGAATATTAAGCATCCCCAGTCCTTAGAACAAAAAGAACATGGCTCTGTTTTACAGCTGAGTACCACTCAAGGATCAGACCAGATAGCAAAGTTGTTAGAAGTTCAGAATTCAATAATGGGGAAGGAAGAGAAGCATTACCATTCTCAAAAGGGAACGAAATATAGGAAATAAATGGGATTGAGATAATCTACCTCACAGGATTTTTGTGAGGCTGAAATTACATGAGATATGTGAAAGCACTACTTAAATATTATCTGCAACCAACATCACTGAGTGAGTGCACAGACCCATTTCTCTCCATTAATTGAACAGTAGGTGGCACTCTTGTGCTACCTCAGAATTTGTGAAAGGCCTGTAAGCACACAAAGGTGTTAACAGGGACACCTATGTCCATTTTTCATTCCCTCAACAGATATTAAATGGGTCCCTAAAATAAGCAAAGCACTATGCTAAGTGGTCAGAACAAAATTTTTTTCTGGAATCTAAGACTTACTGTTAAGGAAGAAGCAAGACCTACCCCTGGCATCCACTGAAGTCAACACCTACACAGCTATATCACAAGAGGTAGAAAATGAGATTAAAATGTACATTTACTAGCACTTAACAGTTTATAACCAGTCTAAATAAATTATTTCATTTGATTTTCAAAAGCAAGTAAAATTATGTATGGAGATATTACCCTGTTTAAGAATGAAGCCAGAATTTGTTTCTATTTTTCTCTGTAACTCCACTTCATCTATTCACTCTACAAATATTTATTAAGTATCTACTACAGGTCAGGTACTGTGCTGGGTGCTAGAGACAGAGCATTGAATGCAATAGACAAAGATTATGACCCCTACATTCCAGCGGGATTTTTGTTTAATGTCTGTCCCACCTACCCAGACTATAAACTCAACAAAGGCAAGGACAAGTGCCTGTTTATTCACCTCTCTTTCCCCAGCACTTAAACCAGTGCCTGGCACAGTAAGCCCCAAGTGGGCCAAAGTGAGCCCCAGTGAGAGCTCAATTAATGAGCTGAGTCAATCAATGAACAGAGAAAACCACACTTCCCTGGAACAGAAAACATAAACCAGACAATGGTCGTTTTTGACACAAACTGTTGATATACATTGAAAAAAGCAAAGAATGATTAGTGTATAACAAAATGGTTTTTTGCCTCCCTGTATTCATTCTTCATTCAACAAATAGTGACTGAGTATCTTACTGTGTGTCAGACACTGTTAGGCAATAGATATAGAATCAAAGATAAATAAAGGGCAACTTTGTCACCAGTAATGGCAAGGGTGGTGGGGTTAATGGAAACGAAGTGAAACGTGAAGATGCTGCAAAATAACAAGTTCAAGCATCCCACAAAAGAGGAATAAACTTTCCCATAGTCACAAACTAACAGGGAAAGACTACAGTACAGACACACTGCAGACCAACCCTCTGCAGGAATTCAGGGTGAATGTAAAGAGAAGCTCTGCCTATCCAGGACAGACTCACCTGGCATAACACAGAGACCGAAAGATCAATCTGCAGTGTTAGCAGAGGGAAAGCCACACACAAGCTCCAACTGCCCTGGTATGAGCACATCTCAGGCAGTGTTAATTCTCGGCCTCTAAGGAGATCTGTTTATAACAAGCAGTGGCTCCTGAGTGCCTGGAATGGAAGAACACTATCATCCCTTTCTAAGGAATTCCACGGAGCCATGGCCTCCATCAAACCTCACCTGAGGATTAAAGGAGTTAAATCCTCGCCTAAGGATTAAAGGAGTTAATGAATGTAAAGCACAGGAGCAGTGCCTGGCACACAGCAAGTACTTTATACAATGATAGTGAATTATTAACACACAGCTACTACAATACTGAGTCCCTCCTGCTCTGCCCTGCTCCTAGAAGAGCAATCCTGAAAAAGCTATTTAATCTCCTCAAGCCTATTTCTAGGTGGCTGTGAGTGTGAAGATAATACATGTAAAGTACCTGGTACAGTACTGGTAAACAGAAAACAATAAATGGTAATCCCAGTGGCCCCTATGCAGAGAGAGAAGCAGCAGATGTCTCTTAATTGCTGTTGGATAACTGGATGGGGGCTTTCTGGTCGTCACTGTTAGCTTGCCTGGCAGGTAATAAATGTTAATAGGACAGGAAAGAGCTGAAGAACTTTATCCCTCATTACTAGCATACTGCAACATCATTAAAAACTTCATAAAAGTGGCACTTACTATATGTAGGGCTGTGTTTTCAGAGCTTAAAGTATTATTTCATTAAAACCTCACAACATACCTACGAGGTGTGTATTTCTGCTTTACAGAGAAGAACTGAGACACACACAGGCTACATAACTTACTCCATGTAGCTCATAAAACTAGTAAACAGAACAGCCAGGCTTCAAACAGAGATGGATTGGCTCTAGAGTCCATGCTCTTGACCACTCGGCTACGCTCTTGAAAACAAGTGATAATAGAAGCTAGTTTTACTCAGGTAATGTCTGGAAACCTTTGCCTGAATACTACAGAGAACTGGAAAACCAATTCATGGATGATAACTAATTATTTCAGCAGGCAGAGGTAGATGCCCCATGGAATCTGAAAGTTCTCGCACAATTCTGGCCTATGTGGACTCAGAGCCCTAGCACACACACAAGCATTCAAGGAAAACGCAGTTCTCTGGGTTATCAAGACTGATGTCCAAATGACATGCTCTTCAGTCACCTCTCTACCTGTATCCTCTCTCAAAGTCCTATCAAAATGTTCCTTCAAGTGCTTCCAAATGCCGTTTCTTCCTCTGTAAAATCTAAACCTAACTTCAACACCACCGTGTACACAAAACATATTCTGAAACACATCATATACATCATATATGTACTTCCTTTCTCATTCATATCCCTTTTAACTTCTTTCTCCACACAGAAAAGGAAAATAAAACAGTGGGGACAAAGAGTACTTAGGGGAAGGTACTAAATCCAACTAGTTCCCTTCCCCTTCGTATTCTTATGCACAAATATGCTTACCAGCTATATGTTAAGACCAGTTAAGACTGGTGACTCAACAATGAGTAAGACACACTGCTCCCTGTCATTTTCTTACCTTAAGAATGTAAGCTTTTTCCATTCTAAAGGTAAGAAAACTACACAAAAAATTATAGAAGAAAAAGCACAATAACTGCTACGAGAGAGAGAGAGAGAGAGACAAAGAGAAATGGGTATTTGGGAGGCACAGAAAAGACTTCATGAAAGAGACAGCAATGGAGCTGGAATGTGAAGAATGGGCAAAGTTTGGACAAGTGGAAAATGCATGGAGGCATGTGGGAAGAACATGGAACAAAAATCCTGAAGGGCAAAGTACGGAGCAAAAGTGAGGAACGGGCAGTCATCTGACTGCAGCACAAGTAAAGATACAGTAACAAGAGGAGAAAAGATTCAAAGAGTATGGATGACACATCTCCACATAAAGGAGGGCTTTCAAAGAAGTTACAAAGCTGGGGGATGTCTTCAGTCAGCAACTGGGAGTCACTGAGGAGAGAAGAAGTGTGTGTTATGAAAATAAACCTATCATTCCATCTGTACCTCTCATCCCAACTTGACTATAATGTCCTCCTGGTCATCTGACTCACCAAGGTTGGACAAGCACCTTTGTGTATTCCCACACTTTACTATACATAACACAGTCATCAAATTGCATACTTTTATAATTATGGGTTAATGTAAAAGATTAAAATCTTGAAACTATGAAGTATATCATTATTTCTTTCTATTCCCAGCACTTAACATAGTATCTAACCCAATATATCTCAAACTGGCTATACATTAGAATCATCCAGGAAGCTTTATGAAAAATAGTGATGCCCAAATACTACCAAAAACCACTTGCATCAAAATCTCTGGAAGGTGGACCCAAATACTAGTATTTTATTCATTTATTTTTTTTTTGAGACAGAGTTTCGCTCTTGTTACCCAGGCTGGAGTGCAATGGCGCGATCTCAGCTCACCGCAGCCTCCACCTCCTGGGTTCAGGCAATTCTCCTGCCTCAGCCTCCTGAGTAGCAGGCACGCGCCACTATGCTCAGCTAATTTTTGGTATTTTTAGTAGAGATGGAGTTTCACCATGTTGACCAGGATGGTCTTGATCCCTTGACCTCGTGATCCACCCGCCTTGGCCTCCCAAAGTGCTGGGATTACAGGCGTGAGCCACCGTGCCCAGCCACTAGTATGTTTTATTTAAAAGCTTCTCCTTGACTCTAATGTGTAACCAGGTTGAGAATCAATGGTTTAGATCAGAGCAGGTGCTCAATAAATGTTTACTGGATGGAGGGAGGGAGAGAGGGAGGGAGAATGATGAAGGGAAGAACCAGAAAGAAGAAACAGGGCCATTTTGAAAAGGCAATGGTCTGAAGTAGAGTCATGTCAAAGGGGATAGAAAAAACATATTTGTTCTCCACTTCTTCCCCAACAACTAAAAAACTAATTTCTGACTTCATAAATTTTTAAAAAAGAAAAATAAAATCAGAGAAACACAGAGACAGTGATGATGTGATCTTATTTTTCCTTTGGCTGGGGCTTGGTCATCCCCCCTCCCTCTGCTGCACCATTGCACATCTGTGTGTATGGACTCCCACACATATACAAATAACAGCTTTCATTTTTTTTTCTTTCTCAAAATATGTACAATACCTGTCATCCAGTTCAATCCTTTTCATACTATGAAGGTGCAAAACAGCTAATATTATTGCTACAAGAAATATTACTGCACAACAAACCCCTACACTAATATAAAACACACGCGTAGAAGTGGTTGGAGCTGCATGTACAGGATCATCTGAAATAAAAACAAAAAGCACATTTAGCTTTTTAAACATTTATGACTGCTTAGTGACCCAATATACACAAATAAGTATCCTGTTCCTTGCCCATTCTTTGGTAAGATCAGTTACCAGTAGCACATTGGTTTAAGTTCACATCATTTTTTTGATGTTTTTGCTGTAGTTTTAAAAAAATATTTGGGGCCAGGCATGGTGGCTCACGCCTGTAATCCCAGCACTTTGGGAAGCCAAGGCAGGCAGATCACTTGAGGTCAGGAGTTTGAGACCAGCCTGGCCAATATGGTGAAACCCTATCTCTACTAAAAATATGAAAATTAGCTGGGCATGGTGGCGCGCATGTGTAGACCCAGCTAGTAGGGAGGCTGAGGCACAAGAATTGCTTGCACCTGGGTGGCAGAGGTCACAGTGAGCCAAGACTGCACCATTGCACTCCAGCCTGGGCAACAAAGCAAGACTCTGTCTCAAAAATAATAAGTAAATATTTAAAGTAAGAGAGACAAAAGGAAAGCCTTCAGCACAGGGAAAATAACCCAATGACATAGACACAAGCCCCCCAACACACACACATACACAGAAAGAGAGAGAGAGAGAGAGAGAGAGAGAAGCAAACTGAGAAGAAACACACAGAAACAAAGATACAGATGACATGAGCAGAGTAGAAGATGCAAACAGAAGCAGAATTGGTGTGACTAGAAATTTATGCAAGATTTGATCATGAGTACTCACATCCTAACTCCACTGAACAAAACTTGAGGCGTTTGTGGTTTATCCTAAATGAGATGGGGGATCATTGCAAAGTTTCAAGCAAAGCAATTTCACACAGTCACTTAACAAAAAATGACTGCATGATTTGTGAAGAATGCCGTGTAGGGGAGCAAGAACAGAAGCAGGGAACAATTAGAAGGTTAGCAGAGTAATTCAAGGAGAGAGCACTGGCTTGGGCAAGAGTGTCACAGTGAAGATGATTAGTAAATGGATTTGGGAACATAGTCAACAGACCTTACTAACGGATTGTACCAAAGTAGAAAGAGAAAGAATGAGATGTTTTGGCTTAAGCGAGTACTTGGATAAGGATATCCTTACAAATATAAAAATAAGCAGGCTGAGGAATGTGAAAATCAAGTTTTGTTTTGTTCAGGTTAAATTTGGAGTACCTAGTCTACTAACTAGGTACCTCATATCTTCATGCATAGATGTTAAATTGACAGACATACAAGTTTGGAGTTCTGGGAATAGGTCAGGATAAAAGATAAAAAGTTACACCTTTCAAAAATACATGGAAATAAGACAAATAAAACTGTTTCCTAAATTTTAAACTTTCCATCAACAAACAATAAATCAGAATAGATTAATGCAAAGAGACCAGATGATTTCTAGGGCAGTTAGACTTGGCTGTAGCCTGAATGAAGGCATGACTTTTATCAAGAACTACCTTAAGCCATGGGAAAGCTATTCAATCTTGGGAGGGGCAGAAAAAAGTTCTGAAAGCATGTGCTGGCAGCACTGTCCAAACACTTTCCAGAGCAGAGAATACTGCTCTACTAGGGAGATCACCCTAGTATGTACCCTGCTCAACTACCTCCATATTCCAGGCTTTTCTATGCACTATTCCCAGTCCCTCATTCACCCTTCATTTGCCACCATCTGATCCCCCTTCAGCTGTCAAAAGAGATGTCACTGTCCTCAGGAAGCTATCCTTGGTTCCCAAATCCCCCTGTACTTGCCTTATCGTAGCTTGCCATACTATGTTATCACTGCCCATTGTCTTGTGTATTTTTCCTACTACATTTAAACCCTTGAGGATGGGGTCCATTGGCTTACAGTTTAGTCCTCTGCCTCAGACATACCACCTAACACACCAGAGACTCTCCATAAAGTGTTGGATGGATGAATAAATAGAAAGGGTGAGAAGATGAGAGGGAGCAAGGAAGAGACAGACAGAGACCAAGAATATGCAATACTGCTTTTTGTGAGAAATAATATCCCACTAGCATAAAAGAAATGGGCAATGTCACCAGAATTTTAAAAGTAAACTTTGGCAATAGTGACTTTTTTTTAATGTTTCTTCTTTCTTTTCAGAAATATTCTAGCAAGTAGATAACATGTCACATTATTTTACTGGCAAAAAAATTTTCCACTTTGAGACATGCAGATGCTCTGTGCCTCCTAAGGTGATGAAAAGACAAAATAGTCAGCAGAGTACCACCTTTGGACTATTCTTAGCAAAAGAGTTGGTCCTGAATCTAATCAAGTACAAAATCTACCTGCCAGTTTATAGGAGAGAAAAAAATATGTTCAATGATTTCAGGAACATGCAGAATGTGGGAAATTCTATGAGAAATGATATAATTTTTTAATAAATAATATTAATAAAAGGATTGGTGGTTTCTGATTATTACAAAACACACATCACCCAGTTGTATAGACTTCATCTGGCTCTTGATTTGGCAGGGGGCTGGCAGGGGGACATTTTTAAGACAATCAAGTTAACTTGAACATGGACTATCTATTGGAAATATTAAGCAACTGTTAATTTTCTTACATGTAATAATCTAAATGAATAGGTATTAGGTAACTGTGGGATTTTCTTTAAGGCCCTTTTAAAAGAGATCCACTCTGAAATATTTATGGGTAAAGTAGTATGATGCCTGGGATGTGCCTGAAAATACTCTACCCCACCCCTAACCAACCACAAAAGGAGGGAATCAATGGAAGAATGGCAAAGTGTTGATCATCACTGAGGTTAGGGGATGGGCAAACAGGAGTTCATCAAAGTGCACTCTGAACTTTTATATACTTGAAATTTTCGAAAAAACAATTTTTAAAGCCTACTTTCATCAAGAGAGTCTAGCATCCTTTTAAGATAGTGCTATTAACACCAACACAGTAAGAGTAACACTTGACAATGTCTCCATGTCAGAAAATAAAAAAGCAGTTTGTAATAATATCTAAACATAACCAATACCAAAAATAATCATCTACTTTGCATATCTGCTCTGTAAGTTTAAATAACATATCTGTAAGCTTGCATCTTCACCTGGATGAAATTAGCTAAAGATTAGGTCCATAACCCTCTGCTAATAAAGATCTTACACGTATTTCATGTACATACTTGAATTACGACTGCTCAATATATGATATTCTTGCTTGTAAAACTTTAGCTTACTTGTAAAAAATATGTATAAATTTTAGTTCTCAAAATATTCAATATTCCAAGTTTCATGACCTATCCACCTGTCTACAAAGCACCAGCAAAATAAATAGCATGGTGTCATTATCATTTGACAAACTAGAAACCATGAGGCCTCTAAGCTTCATGCAATCATGTTTACATTCAATCAACCATTTTTAATTTCTAATAATGGAGAAAGATAAAACAGTAACACTTACAAATAGTTCTGCTAGTGTTTTTGTCCAAGGCTGAAGTTTTTACTTCTTCAAGTTCTAAATTTAAAAGGAGATAAACAATGCTTTAGAAATTATCTTTTCCATGAAAATCCTTAATTACTATAATTATCAGAACATTACTGGAACTTAGCACCAGGTATTTGTTGCAAGATAATGAAAGCTATGTTACTATTCTGACAATCATCACTACAGCCATCAATCAATTGTCCATACCAGTGTTAGCCAAAGGGTGTTACTTCTAGATGCTCAATGAAAAAGGGTTCCTGTGGTCAAGAAGTTTGGGAAAAGCCACATACTATAGTCTCTTTGGAGGTGCACAGTGCACATTCGTAGAATGTGACTCCATAAAAGGAGTTATGAGGTCACAAAACTGTTTAACCCATAATTCTCATCCTCATTATGATAAAGGAAACTTTTCTTGACCTTCTAACATTCCATATAGTACAGATGCATTTTCTGTTGCAGAGAGTTTTGGAAATATAGTAATTTGGCAAACCAGTAAGTCAGTACATTAGGGTCACATAATAAAGTAAGAGTCATGAGCCTGAACTGGATGACCAGGGCAGCCAAAACTATGACCAACAAATATAGAGGGCCATATTCAATCTTAAGTCTAAAACAGAATAGAAAATTACTATAACACAGAATTGTAATGTTAATTTTCACACATATATTAAAGAAAATGGAGAAGGTATGTAATCACCTTGAATATCAGTTTATCATTAACCTTAGCAGATATTAGCAGCAGTGGGATCCAGAGGCCACAGCATGTCTGGTTATCATTCTGCCTTTAAGACTAACAGATGAAGCACCAGGGTACAGTCACTGCACATTTCTCTGTGGATCAGGAACTGAATGTTTTACACTCTTCATTGGCTAGCTGTGATAGCCTAGGTGGCCGTAGGGTCCAATCTCCTTATATCAAACACATACTGACTACACTGGACTAGAAAGAGTCTCTGAAATCTCCTTTGTCTTTAAAATTACATGGAAGTTGTTACATAAATGAATATAGTAGAACTGTAAGTTGTATCAGAACACTAAAGCTAAAAGATGCTAACTTCTCTTTCTTAAAATGTCTATTCAAATGTAGTGCAGCTTTTTTATTGGCATGTACCTGGACATTAGCCATTATAACTCACTTGTTGTTAGGTGTTTTTATAACACTCAGCACTGAATTCAATTGGGAAAAGTATTAAAAGACAGCTTAACAAAAAGGCTAAGAGAACAGATCTGCATCCCAGCTGCATCACTTAGCTATCTGATCTTGGCAAGTTAAGATTCTCTGAAGCTCAGCTTCCTTTTCTGAAATGAAAACAATGAGAGAACCCACTGCCTAGGGTTGCTGTAAGGATTAAACAGGTGTGAAACCTGTAAAGCCCTTAGAAAACAGTAAGCACTCAGGCTTTGGTTGGTTTTTTTAAGGATTTTTCCCCCTATCTTAGATACTAACCAACTCTACCTATGTGACCCTGTAAATTTGGGTCACTTTACCTTTATAAAACTTACAGTGATTGGGTTGGCCTAAACTTGTAAAGAGAACTCTAAAATTCTTTCATCTATGACCTAGCATGCTGGAACTATTTCATATCCACTCTTATTTCTTCAGTAACACATAATTCAAAACCAAAAATGACTAACATTTGTTAAGTACCCACTTACAGTATTTAAGTTTTAGGCTAGATTTAATTAATTGTAAAAAACAACAAACCTCTGAAACAGGTATTATGCCCATTTTACAGATGAAAAAACTGAGCCTCAGAGAGGTTAAGTAACTTGTACCAATACCCTGAAAAGAGCAGAGCTGTCATTCCAACCCAGGTCTATCTGACCCCGGAGCAATGCTTCTGCATAAAAGTAACTTGGTAAGGGAAACACAGTTAATGTACAGTTACTCAGAAGTCCCAACATATTTTTCTTATTTCTTTACCTCTTCAACCATTTTAGCACTATTCCTAATGAAAAAGATCTTAGCAATTCTGACAAAAATTTGAGAAAGCATGGACTCAGTGAGACCTGAGTGAGATTCCTGGCTACCGACTACCTGGGGTTATCTCAAAACTTCATCTATCAGTGTTCTTTTCTCACTTGCAACTATAATCAAGAGTTGGTCATAATTAAATCTGTGAAAAAACAAAATCTATTTTTCACCTTCTCACATACATGTAAAACACATTTTGGTAAATAAATTCCTTACTTTTGTAGCACATTTTCCTTCGTTTAAAATTTAAGACGGTAAAATTTTTTGAAGAATTTACTGTTAAGTTGAGCTGCATTAGTATCATAACTTCAGAATCTACCTTGCCAGTACAGGAAAGCTCTACCCGAAACACTGTTTAAAAAAGATAAGAAAAATATTTTACATTTTCTAAAGATCAGCATTAATGCCCCAAATTATTCTTTTAAACATTTAAAAATTACTTACTGTTGCTGCAATAAAACTAAAAATAAGACATTTAAACAAAGTAACTAAACAAAAGGTTTTAGAGATCTTCAGACTACCACACCTCTAGACATTAAGCATTTAATTCATTATGGATATAAAAGTTAGTATTAAAGAACAAACCAAGACATCAATGAACAGATAATTATTTTCAACTTTTGCTCATCATTTTTAATTATCACTTTGTCTCCTAAGTCCTGCTATTCCAATACACTAAAGCTAAAGGATCATAAGGCAAACCTCACCAGACATATCAGCAATAGTAATAACAGAAATTACATGATTAAAAGGAAAGATAACTTGCTACCAAAATGCAAGTATGCTTGCTCCTAATAAAAAGATTATATATAAACGTGTAAATGAATCTGATAAATTCTCAATTATGAATTAAAAACATCTTTCTCAATAGAAACTGATTTCATCCGTAATTGTAGCAATGAGATAACAGACTTCAGTGCATATAATTTTCTCCCCAATCTTTCACTTTAAGATTCTTTTCCTACAAATTTAAAATATATCATCCTAACATCTGTATGAGTGCATTAAAGCTATGGGCATTTCTAAATTACTTTACTGCCCATAAAAATTTAAGCGGCTTTCCTGTGCTTTCTTAAAGCTTAGTTAGATTAATGTATGTCACTGATAACAGTGAATAAGACTGCCAGAAAAAGTTTCACCACACTATTGTGGCCTATACTTTCAATTTTTAAAAATTTTCCATTTCTTACAAATATCACAACTTCAAGAGTCTAAGAAGCTAGCTCAAAAATAGTTAAATTGGAGTAAATAAGATACTTATTAATTTACTCAGACTCACTGCGTGGCTATCCTGTGCCATACTCTATGCTAAGCATCAAGGGAATTGCTAGATAATGTAATCAATGCAAAAACAGTTAAATTTTAGGTTCTAAGGGATAGAAAGAATATAAGTTAACAAATGAAAGAAGAGAAGGGGACAGGAAAAAGACAGTGCAGATCTTGAGTCTTGCAGAATGAGTAGGATGAATAGGAAAGAGTTCACAAGCAGAAAGAGGAAAAGATATTCCAAATCCTGAGACCAGCACATGCAAAGGCTTGAAGATTAGAACTGCATGTAGTCTGGAACTGCTCGACTTCTGAGGCAAGTACAGCAACAAGACTAGGCAGGCAGGCAGGGGCAGATGGTAAAGGATCCAGTTACACAAGGCAAACCTCATTTGCACAAGGTGGTGAGTCTGGACTGTTCAGCTGACAGGCTTCACGTCACAAGGTCAAATGTTACTGTGCAAAGATCATCTGGGCCAAAGGGTGGAATGTGGGGCCTAATCAAAGAGGAAGAAGATCAAGCACAGGGAGTCATGCGGAGGTAAGTACCAGCAATGCAGAAAAGGAGACAAGAGATGGCTAAGCACAGATAGTTCCAGAAGAACAGAAAAGAGAGAATGGTTTAAGAACACAGTGCAAATATTTACAAAAATTACTTTTCACAGTATTTATACATCTTACACCTATCAAGTAATACAGACTACACATCAGCAGTTAAACTGCTCTTTTGGGAACATAGGGGATGCAGTCTAAAACAGTATGTTAACTCTGTCTTGGAAGAATCTTACTTACCTGATAAAGTGCGTGGAACTTCCCCCTGAACAGAAATGTTGACCTGGGGCATGTCCATTGCCAAAAAATTGTCTACCTGGAATCCCAGCTTATATTCAACCTGTAAAATAGAGAGAAATAAAATGGACCTGTGGTAACAGAAAGGATACTATCAGCTTGACGTCATTAATTAGCTCATTAATTCATCAATGCATGAGACTTTCATATGTACAAACAATCTAGCTATTAAATAATCCAAATTGGGGTGCTGATCCAAGATGGCCGATCGCTAACATCCCGGGATTGCAGCTCTCAGGGAAGGCGCGGAGAACTAGAGGACGCCACACTTTCAGACAAATTCTGGTCGCTCACGGAGCAGGAGATCCCCCAGTGGAGGAAACACACGAGTGGCCAGCGCGACTCTCGTGGCCGGTGCAGCGGTTCCACCGGCACCTCGGCGCGGCAGCTCTCGGAGCAAAGTAAACAGGTTCGGAGGACCTGCACGGGTCCCCAGCAGGACACCAGAGCCCGGCGCAGCCGCTGTGAGGGCACCTCGGTGCGAGAGCGCTCCGTGCAGAGTAAACAGGACCGGTTTCCCTTCTGACAGAGGTTTGGAGCCCCGGGAAGGCAGAGTCGCCTACTATGGACACAAGAAGGAAGCCCAACAGGAGAATCCTGGGCAGAAAAGCACCATCAGTTTTAACGCTGCTGCTCTGGCCCTGGGAACTAACAACCTGGACGTCCACTCAAGAGACCTAATCTGAAAGTTGGTAATTTCAAAGAGACAGGAGGATAAATTTACAATGACGGGAAGAAACCAGCGTAAAAAAGCTGAGAATACTCAAAATCAGAACGCCTCTCCCTCTAAAGATGATCACAGTTCCACATCAACAATGGAACAAGGCTTGATGGAGAACGAGCGCATCCCAATGACAGAATCACTCTTCAAGGAATGGATAATAAGAAACTTCGGTGAGTTAAAAGAACATGTTGTAGCCCAACGTAAAGAAACTAGGAACTTTGAAAAAAGGTTTGATGAAATCCTATTGAGAATAGACAACTTAGAGCGGAGTATGAGTGAATTAATGGAACTAAAGAATACAATACAGGAACTCCGAGAAGTATGCACAGGTTTAAACACTCGAATTGTTCAAGCAGAAGAAGGGATATCAGAGGTCAAAGTCCAACTTAATGAAATAAAACGTGAAGAAAAGATTAGAGAAAAAAGGATGAAAAGGAATGAGCAAAGTCTCCAAGAAATGTGGGACTATGTGAAAAGACCAAATTTACGTTTGATAGGTGTACCTGAATGCGACGGAGAGAATGAATCCAAGCTGGAAAATACCCTTCAGGATATTATTCAGGAAAATTTTCCTAAACTAGCAAAGCAGGTCAAAATTCAACCCCAGGTAATACAGAGAACACCACAAAGATATTCCTCAAGAAGAGCAACCCCAAGGCACATAATCGTTAGATTCACCAGGGTTGAAACAAAGGAGAAAATACTAAGGGCAGCCAGAGAGAAAGGTCATGTTACCCACAAAGGCAAGCTTATCAGACTTACAGCAGATCTCTCAGCAGAAACTCTACAAGCCAGAAGAGAGTGGGGGCCAATATTCAACATTCTCAAAGAACAGAACCTTCAGCCCAGAATTTCATATCCAGCCAAACTAAGCTTCACAACTGAAGGAAAAATAAAATCTTTTATGAACAAGCAAGAACTCAGAGATTTTATTACCACCAGGCCTGCTTTACAAGAGCTTCTGAAAGAAGCATTACACACAGAAAGAAACAATCAGTATTAGCCTTTCTAAAAATACACCAAAAAGTAAAGAGCACCAACATAAAGAAGAATTTACACCAACGAATGGATAAAACAGCCAGTCAACATCAAATGGCAGTAACTCTAAATTTAAATTGACTAAATCCCCCAATCAAAAGACACAGCCAAAACCCAATGGCATGTTACATCCAGACCTGTTTCACATGCAAGGATACACAAAGACTCAAAACAAAGGGATGGAGAAAGATTTACTAACCAAATGGAGAGCAAAAATAAATAATAAATAAATAAAAAGCAGGAGTTGCAATTCTCGTATCTGAGAAAATAGATTTTAAAGCAACAAAGATATAATGGTAAAAGGATCAATGCAACAACAAGAGCTAACGATCCTAACACCCAGATACGAGACTTAGATTCAATGAGACAGAAAATTAATAAGGATATCAAGGACTCGAACTTAGATCCGGAACAAGTAAACTTAATAAATATTCATAGAGCTCTCCACTTCAAATACACAAAATATACATTCTTGTCAATACCACATCACACCTACCCATAAGTTTAAATGAAACATTGATTGGCCATTATTAATACCCAATTTTTTTCAAAATAAAGCAATATTTCCATTTACTCTCCCTCTTTCTCTTCCTCTTTCTTCCTCTCCTTTACTTATTTTTTTTTTTTTCTTTCCTTCTCTCAAAAAAAAAGAAATCAACTTGTAAACCTCTAGATCCAGGTCGGCAATGTCTCTCTCATTGCTTGATTTCCTTCCTTCCCTTCCCTCCTTCCCTCCCTCCCTCCCCGCTTCCTCCCTTCCTTCCTTCATCCCTTCCTTCCTCCCTACCGTCCTTCTTCCCTCCCTTCCTGCCTTCCTCCCCCCACCAAAAAAAAAAAAATCCAAATTATCAGAAACACTCCTAGGAATTTTCAGTGGGATAAAAATTCAACCCAGTAAGCCACTCTCTATTTTATGTCCAAAACAGGACCACCACTCTTCTGTAAAACTGCCATCTAGGATCAAAAATCCTGCTGAGGACTATGCAGCACTGACAGAGAAGCCATGGAGAGCCAGATAGGAAGAATCAAGGAGGTGAGCTATGTAACTGACAGACTATAAACAGCCACAAATGCCTTATCTGGTCGATAAGTGAAAGCCAAGCTCGGAGGGCCTCCTTGTGGCTGGTGGAAGAAGGTCTGCTCTGCAGACCCACTCACACAATAAGCAGATTCCAAGGTAGATTTCTCATGGAACATCTAAGTCACATCATCTAGTCTGGTTTTCACCAAAAAGAAAGTTCATGTTTAGATCCCTATTTAACCTCTGGATCTAATTCTCAAGTGATTCAGAATCCAGAAGGGAAGAGAGGCAACCAACCCGGTCTCTAAAACACCAATGTTATCTATCAACACGTTGCCTACCCAATGTGTCTTAATAAAACCAATCAGCATTGATAAATAATTATGGCTCTGTTGCTACAGAGTTCACGAAAGCAGCAGCTCAAACTGCAAAGCAATAGCTGAAATTCAGAATGGCTGCCACCTTCAAGACCTTCAAAGAGGCCGTATTGTTCACATCACTCTCCGTCCTGCCCATAGGGTCTTGATAAGTTCGGTATCCCTCTCCCATGCAGTGGTCACGAAGGTGTCACTGGTGGCAGGCTGAAATCTGCAGAGCCATGAGGCAGCACGTTGGGAAAATAGTGCGAAGAGGTTCAATACATCATTCTTTAATAAACTTAACTAGGAAGAATGGGAGACAGATGGTGAAGTGGGGGGCATCCCAAAGTTTTTCTTTCTTCCTTTTTAAATGAGAGACATTCACATATGTGTATAAAACTAATGAAATGGTACATAATAGAGATGAAAGAAAAGAGGGAAACAGTATATCACAGATGTAAGAGAAGAGATGGCCCTTGGGCTTGGGATAAGGCAGAAGGCAATGTTATCCATGAATAAGAAGGAGGGCTCAATCCAGAGTTTGAATCCCCTTTGGGTTTCTCCTTTCACACTCTATTTAAAATCTCTTAGCTAAACACTGTAGGGGTATGCAAACATTAAACTCTTCTTTTGCAGTTCAGATAGGTACATAAAAACTGTCAAAGGCTGTGTTTGGTCAGTGCCACATTCCCAACAAAGGAAATGTTCTTGCTGCCTTCAATATTCAGTGTTGAAGTCAACATCAATACTGATTTAGGGGTACCTTGGCTAGGAAGTGTTTACATTCACCTTAGCATATCACAATACCACTACTGCCACCAGGGGGTGCTAGAGAGCCACAGCCAAGCAAGTTTGGACAGAGAATGAGCAAGCTTTCCAGCAATACAACATCAAAGAATGCATTAACTACATCCCGACCCTCAAGCTATCTCCGAACAGGACCATACATGAAGGATAGATGCACAAAAGAAATCAGCAATGCCAGCAGGAACTGGGTTTGGAACCTTGAGACCATGTGACCCTTAAGTAAATTAATAACTTCTCTGAGTTTCGTTTTTTTGCAAAATGAGGGTTACACAACATGTTATGAGGATCCAATAGGATCATTAATGCAATACACCTGTTAGCCTGGCACCAGTCCCCTCTGATAAATGCAGACATCAGTGGCATCAGAAGTCATTCCAAAATAGCCACCTGATTGCCAGGCTGCACTTCTCCATAATCATCAGCCTACTGTTGGCCCCAGGGATTCTGACATAAACCCCCCTGGGTCTGTCAAGAACACTGTTGCAGGCCTTCTGTTTTTACCCCCATTCTAAGAACCTCCCTATTCAGAACAGCCTCCTACACTCTTGGCTTCTTCACAAATATCTTCCAATCTTCTTCTACAACCTGACTTTCCTTAAAAGTCATCTGTTCCCCTGCCTATCATTCAGTTCCTATAATACCTGACCTTCAGAGCCTAGATAAAGGGTCAGCACTCTTTAGGATCACTAGGTCAAGACCAGACCTAGTGTCTTGGCCTGTTCGCAGACATCCCTTCCTCATGCCCTCATATAAATCCCCTCTACTTTGAAGCTCACAACTTCTTTGAGACCAAGGCTTACTCTGTCACCCAGGCTGGAGTTCAGTGGCGTGATATCAGCTCGCTGCAACCTCTGCCTCCTGGGTTCAAGCAATTCTCATGTCTCTGCCTCCTGAGTAGCTGGGACTATAGGCACACGCCACCATGCCCAGCTAAATTTTGTATTTTTAGTACAGACGGGTTTTCACCATGTTGGCCAGGATGGTCTCAAACTCCTGACCCCCAATGATCCACCTGCCTTGGTCTCCCAAAGTGCTAGGATTACAGGCCTGAGCCACAGAGCCCAGCCAAAGCTCACAACTTCTACTCATAATGG